GATCCCATGCAACAAATGGTAGGGGGGCACGTTGCCTCTTTTGACTGGCCGGAACCGAAACGCATGCAGATCTCCGACGTAAGCGCCATGGAGCAGTTTAGCGAGCTTGAGGAGTGGGATTCACACATGCAGGAGTTTTCCAAGGCACGATCACAGATGGTGGGGCCTGGGCATGACATGTTCTGGGTCTCGCTCTCAGAGGGTGATGGAGTTGAGCCACTGTTACCTGCGCGATCAGTGGCGCAGAGCGCTGCCACTGGGGGGGGGGAGTGTGGGATCCCCGGAACCGCAATCAAAGACGACCCCCGAAGCCAAGCTGGGGGAATTCTGCATGCAAGTGGCCAGGGCGATTACTCCACTGATTTCAAAGCCGCCAGAGACCGCGCACAAGCGTCGACCCGCCAAGCGGCAGCAGCTAGTAACGGCCACACCCAGACGTAGCGTCCGCATTGCCAAGAGGGATGGACGTGGCTCGGTGGCATCCAAGCAGCAGCAGGCAATCATGCGCAAGTTGTGCCTCGCTCACGAGGGAGAAACAATAGGTGACACGATGCTCCAAGCATATATTGATCTCTTCTCCAGCCCACTATCTGACACGCACATCGCAGCAATCCTCGCTCTCTTTGGGTGGGAGCCATCGGCCCTGCCATTGCAGGAGGTGCCAGGCTCAGTGGTGGTGGCCCCCTAGCCTCTAGGGGTGCTTGGACAATTGTAGGCCCTCCCCATGGCTGCACAACCGTTGAAAGTATTGGTGTGGAACGTGCGTCGGTTGAACTCAACGGCACGGAGGAATGCAATACGACAGGTGGTACAAATGGCGAACTCGGCGGTAGTATGTCTACAAGAGACTAAACTTGAGATTGTAACGGTAGATATCATGCGTCAATGCCTTGGCAATAGATTTGAAAACTTCTACTACATGCCAACGGATGGCACCTGTGGCGGCATAGCCATCGCGTGGGATGCACTACTTGTCTCCCTCTCAAACCCGCATACCACGCAAAACACATTAACGACGCTGGTAAAGCCCAGTGAAGCACAAGAGTGGTGGCTTACCTGTGTCTATGGCCCACAGCTGGACCATGAGAAGGTGGAATTCCTAGAGGAGCTCGTGGAGTTAAGGGACTTGCACGCTGGGCCGTGGATGCTTGCGGGAGACTTCAACCTCCTGGTAGGCGAGTGTGACAAGAACAACACTGCGATAAACAGGCGAATGAAAGGCCGCTTCCGGAATACTTTGAATAGGTTGGAACTAAGGGAGCTCTATCTCAGCGACCGAAAATACACTTGGTCGAATGAGCGACAGCACGCCACCCTGGAGAAGCTAGATCACGTGTTCACCACCAACTGCTGGGAGGACATCCACCCATCCTGCTTCCTCTCCGCGATGGGCACGTCTATCTCAGACCACTACCCCATGCTCATCAACCTAAACGCGGACATGCCAATGGGACATCGCTTCAGGTTTGAGGCGTCCTGGCCGCACGCGGAGGGTTCATGGAGACAGTCCATACCGCGTGGCACTCGATCCCTTCTACTGGGAATCCTTTCGTCATCTTAGAAAAGAAGCTCTGTGCAACGGCCAAACGACTCCAGGGCTGGAGCGCCAGGTGGATAGGAAACATAAATATGCAGATCCTCATGGCTATGGAGCTTATATACAGACTTGACCAAGCATCAGATAACAGAGCACTAACGGCGGCAGAACTTCAACTCCGGAAAACCCTCAAACGGAAGCTCCTAGGGTTATGCTCCTTGGAGCGAACCATAGCACGACAACGATCCCGGATGCTACAGCTAAAGGAGGGAGACGCAAACACCGAGTTTTTCCACCGACACGCAAGACACCGGCAACGCCGAAACATGATTACCTCCATCAAGAAGAACGGGCTAGTGATAACGGGACACGATCAAATCGTTGTTGAGGTGGATGGGTTCTACGATAGGTTGATGGGTTCGGCCTCCACTAGAGAAACCGCATTACGGCTGGAGGCACTCGGATTACCAAGGCGCGATCTATCACACCTGGAGCTGCCATTCACGGAGGAAGAAGTGGAGAAGGTGGTCAAGGCCCTACCACCGGACAAGGCGCCGAGGCCGGACGGGTTCACGGACAGATTCTTTGCCAGCTGCTGGCACATCATCAAGGCGGACATAATGCGGGCGCTGGATACGTTCTATCATGGAGATATGCGTGGCATGCAAGCAGTCAACAAAGCACTTGTGTCCCTACTGCCTAAGATGGAGGGCGCAGAAGAACTACGAGACTACCGACCAGTCAGCTTAGTGAACGGTGTGATCAAGCTATTTGACAAGGTACTGGCCACAAGACTTGTGGGGGATCTACCGTACCTTGTGGGGAAACACCAAAGAGCCTTTGTGAAAGGGAGATATCTGCATGACAACTTCATGCTTGTGCAAGGCACGGCACGACGCTTACATGCTCTAAAGGACCCCACGGTGCTTCTGAAACTTGACATATCCAAAGCCTTTGACTCCATCCAATGGCCATTCCTAATTGAGGTATTGCAAAGCATGGGGTTCGGCACACGGTGGATTGGATGGATTTGTGGACTACTTGCAACCTCTTCAACCAGGATCATGCTCAATGGGGTGCCCGGCAAACCAATCTACAACCAATGTGGCCTAAGGCAAGGGAACCCGCTCTCGCCAATGTTGTTCATCTTAATCATGGAGCCACTGCAACGGTTATTCCACACAACATCCGAGTCCGGCCTCCTAGCACCCTTGGCGACGGCTGGCCTCAAGAATCGCATGTCAATATTTGCGAACGACGTCATCATCTTCCTAAAACCCCACCCGACAGACCTTACCACGTGCATAGTGATACTTGACATGTTTGCCGCAGCCCAGGCCTCCATGCAAACCTAAGGAAAAGTGCTGCCCTCCCAATCCGGTGCACACAAGAGCAAATGACGGACGTGACGAATGTACTGGGCTGCTCACTAGGTGGCTTCCCGATGAGATATCTCGGACTGCCACTGACCATCCAGAAGAAATCGGCTGCGCAGTTGCAAGGCCTGGTGGATCATATCACTGCTTGCCTGCCCACTAGGCGTGCCGCGACCCTACCAAAGAGCAGTCGGTTGATCCTCATCCAATCGGTCCTCTGAGCGATGCCAGTGCATGCAATGTTGGCCATGGAATTACCGACAAAGACAACCAAGGCGATCAACAAGATCTTACGAGGATTCCTCTGGTGTGGCAAGGCGGAGGCAAACGGGGGAAACTGCGCGGTGGCCTGGAACGCAGTTTGCGCGCCCAAGTGGGCTGGAGGCCTCGGGATCCTGGACGTCGCCTGGATGAATGTAGCAATGCAGGCCCGCTGGCCATGGTTGGCGCGGGTGGATGACACGCGACCCTGGAGCGAGTTTACGATAGCAGTACCAAAGGCATCCATCCAGCTATGCAACGCGGCAACACGAACAAAGTTGGGTGACGGCACAAGAGCTCTTTTTTGGGAGGACCGATGGTTGGATGGGTTCTGGCTGGAGGAAATCGCACCCATGATATATGCAAGGATACCGCGCCGAATCCGAAGGCAGCTCCTGGTCAGGGAAGCAGTACAAAATGGGACGTGGGCAGCTCCCATTGGACCGAACATCGACGCCCTGACACTCACGGACTTCATAAACTTGTGGACTCGGGTCCAGCACGTGCAGCTTCAAGAAGGGGTACAAGACACCATCCGATGGGCTTGGGAGCGCAACGGCCTCTACTCCGCCCGATCGGCGTGCGCTGCCAAGTTCATGGGAAGAGAGCTAGCGCCAACCGCGGACGCAACGTGGAAGTGTCGGGCCCTCTTGCAATGCCGTTTTTTCATCTGGCTCGCGATACGTAATAGGTGCTGGACCTCAGACCGCCTAGCGAGGAGGGGGCTACCACATCAACAAGCATGCCCACTTTGCAGCCAAGACGGCGAGACAATAAACCATATCATGCTTCAGTGTGTTTTCACATGAACCTTCTGGCTGGAGATTTGCCAAGCCCTCGAAGTGCCGCAATGGACGCCGACCATGCATGACACCCTACCGAGTGGATCCTAGACAAGCAGATACATGGAGCCAAGGAGAAGGATGTAAGGGCAATACTTATTCTTGCCTTGTGGGAATTGTGGAAACACCGCAACGGGATCATGTTCGACGGCGAAACACCATCTTTAGGGAGGCTACTACCACAGGTCTCCCACGAGGGCAAGGCTTGGAGGACGGCGGGCATCCTAAAGTCGGATTTGGATAGCTTCTTCGGGCGGATACATAGGTGGGAGTCTAGCGAAACGTAGCCGCATGTAGAACGGTGGTTTGGGTGTGTAACACCCTCAGCGGAGGGTTTCTTGTACCCTTTTTTCTCCTTCATTAATGAAACATACGCATGCTATGCGTATTTGAGAAAAAAAACTTTCTATTCACTACAACAGATTGCACAATGTGTACTATCTAGAAGTTTCTAATGGATGAATAGAAAATCTGATGCAAACCCATTATATTCTTGTGTGTGATGTAGTTGCCCCGGCCTTTTACAATCTCCGACACTTGACCACTATTCTAGACTCTTCATGCATCCTCTTGTGCTAATAGTTTTTCTACCTATTGCATAAAAGTGTTGTCATTTATGAGATTACCTTGTGAAATCTTGTTCAACGTGACTTATTGTCAACTACTTGTTGAAGTAGCTTTCCACATAGTTTCTACCAAATGTTGCAACACTAGCTATTTTATGGGGGCATCCTGAACTAACTATTCATGCTCATGAAATCATTTGTTTAAGGTCCATACATATAATACATCATGTACACTGCACTATGTGGCCAAAATTTGTTTTTAAATTAATTCAACTATCATCGGTAACAACACTATATTTCACATTATGCATATGTAAATACTGTGGCTTGTTAATATTGTGGTGCATTAATGTCTCGCGTGCAAAGCACTTACAATTTTACTAGTAACAAAAGCAAGAGATGCGGAATAGTCTCTGACCGAGGCAAGTAGGATGTCGGAGGAGTTGAATTCGCCGCAGATCAATGGCTTCTCCGCGCCGTGGAGGGACACTAGGCCTTTTAGCTAAGACAATGCTTAGTCTGGTCGACCATGGCAGCACAGGACCTGCATAGGGATGATGTTTGTTGTCCTGTTATCTAGGTTGACAGTGGAACCCGATTTTTCAAGGATCGTATGGAAAAAAATGGCAACACGGGACCACAAAAAGCTAAAATTCGCATCACATGAAATGAATTCATTTCGTTGTCATTTGCACAAGTGGGGATAGAGTCAACGCTAGGAGGTTCCTTGCGTACGTACGCTTGAAGAAGTAGTCGTCCAAGCTGCCATGGGCCATGAGCTCGTAGACCAGGAGCCTGTGCTCCTCCTCGCAGCAGTAGCCGATCATCCTCACCAGGCAGGGATGCCGCAGCTGCAGCTCTCCAAGGAACATGGCCTCCTTCTAATCACATCACACGGAAGCCGAGATGGAGTACATCTGGTCAAAGTGAAATTGGGGGCTGACATCGAGGAGTAGGTACGTACCACCATTCCCTCGACGTAGTCGTCGACCCGCCACCGCGTCCGCTTGACGGCGACGGGCTACGCCGGGAGCCCCGGCCGGACGCCGTTCTCGATGAATCCCCTGTACGCCGTCCCGAACTCGCCGCTGCCGATTTGGTTGCAGCAGGCGAACCCCTCGGTCGCCGCGCTCAGCTCCGCGAACGTGAAGGCGTGCAGGTTGGAGTTGGACGCCGCCCGCGGCAGGTCGTTGTTCGTGATCATCGGCGGTGGCTGCTCCGCCAACCCGTCGCTTGCCGGGACGTTCTCCCCAGCCGCCATGGTTCCGCCGAGGCAACCGTCGAGGAGTGACCTCCACGACGACGAAGACGCCGTCGACTTCCTTGAAGCAGCCTTGGAACCGGACCCCATAGTTAGCCCGCGCGGCACCCACGCAGCTAGCTTGCAAGTTGCAAGCGATGCCTTATAGCATATTAATGGTTGATCAAGCTTGATGGATTCACCCTCTCAAACAACTAGTTCTGGTCCGGGAGGTTATTACCTCCCCAGGTCAAATTAGGTTTTTATATTCGAAGAAAACGAATTGGTCTACATGTATTGTGTCAAAGTCAAAGTTTATTTTTAAATTCAAATCTTTTCTTTTGGTCTCTTGAGTGTCAGAGAGCCATCATTTTGTATATTTCTCTCCCAATCGACGGTATCATGCTGACGGGGCAGCTCAGACATCACTCTAGTATTAGTTTTTCTAAACGAGTAGGGAAATAAAAATGGGTAATAATAAAACTAGGGGGAAACGTAAATATCCGGTAAAGTCACCGTAGACATCGGGCTTCCAAAAATACATCATCACATTTAGAATTTGTTGGGAAACCAACTCTCGAAATAGGTTTTCACCTTGTTTTACAGATATATAAGTCAATTACCATGTCCATACAACAAGGTAAAGTTCATGAAAAGAAATATAGGTCTGCAGGGGCAATGACACAAACCTGCCTTAATAAAAAGAGGAAAAATGACCACAAAATTGGGAAACCATGGCATTTAGTAAATTTCAAAAGGTTTTTTTGTTTTTATTTCTATTTACTTTCAGAAGTCCTGGATTCTTCAATATTTTTCTTGGCATATTCTAGGATTTTTTTCTCAAAATTCTTGTTACGTTCTAGTTCTCCCCTCAAACTTCCATTTGGATTTTTTGGTACTTTATATCTCCATGTTTATTATAAATTTATGCCTACCTTTTTCTTTCTATTTTACTAACATTTTAAACTATATCCCCTGTTTTTTATACTAATTAAATTTGTAGGGCAAAACCTTCAATTTTTGTGTTTTCGTTTCCCACTAATTTATTATTTCAAGTATTTGTCAAAAAAATGTGTTCGCTGAGCTGTCGCACATGCAAAACTACTGCAATACCAGAAACCACTTTTAATGAAAAAAAAGAACCAAACATACACGATTTTAGCATTCGAGGGAGCAAGAATTTCTCATGTTGATGCTGAGCTAGGGACCACATATTTTGATGAATTTGCTTGGGTACAAGTAAATGATTAGTGTTTTTGGGGTCATCAGAAAAATGCAAGAACAAAAAAACATATATAATTAAAAGGCCAGCACTTCTTACACCATAGAAGAAACCAAAACTCGCAAATTTGCAGACACAACTATTTTAAGGAAGCAGTTGTTCTAATTCCGAGATCATGTGAGCTTGGTGAACAGTAAAAATAAAAAAACAAGAAAAATAATAATCAAAAAGTTCTGATTTTTTCAGTGAAACATTGACAAAATGTTTGTTAGCTTGCAAAAAACCAAATCGATGCTCCAAAACTTTATTTTCAAATGCATTTTGGAACATCAATTTTGTTTTTTTGTCACATTTTCGACAAAAGCCATTTCACGATGAAATTTTGCAAGCTATGAAAATATTTGTTTGTTTCACAAAAAATCGGATTTTTTTAAATATTTTTTGTGATTTTACTATTCACCCAAGCTCACATGAGCTCGGGATTAGAACCACACTTTCACTATTTAATTCCTCACATGGATTCTATAGCAATTTAGAGAGAGAGAGAGAGAGAGAGAGAGAGAGAGAGAGAGAGAGAGGTTGCATGTATGATACAAAGAAACCGTAAGTCTAACCTCTTACTACAAATTATATGGAATAGGGGTGTCTTCTGAGAAATGTAATTCATACGAATTATGATGACCTTATCATACATAGAACCTCTAAATTTCCTAGGAAATACTTCAACCCACACAGATCCAAATTATGGTCGGTCAGAAAAAAAAATGGATTTAAAAAAGTATTTGCGTTTAGAATTTTTTTAAAAAGTTTTTGTTTTCAAAAAAAATCACAGAATCTAGTATATATTCGGCATTTAAAAAATGTTCACAAGTTTCAGTGAACATTCCAAATGTTGCAAACGTCGTTTCAAATGTGCCGCTTCTGTGTTCATAAAAGACTCGCGCTACGATTAATCAGAAGCAGCTGGCAGATGGGGTGGCTAGCAGCACTCGACAAAGGTAGGACTAAAAAAACATCAAAGATATAAGAGGAAGTGGAGTGACCGAGGACGTGACTAGCGTCGCTCCTCTCCTAGCGCCGCTGGCCGCTCCGGCCACGGCGGCCACAGCCTCTCGCCGGTCGTTACACTGACCACCGGCGACCACCGTCTCCCGCCGGTCATCACTTTGATCGTCGGCGGCCACAACCACCATGGCGCTCTCCGACCTCAAGTTTGAGCCTGGCCTTGCTTTTGAGGCTTTCATCTGGAAGCAGTTTCATGTCCCAGTGAATCACTTCGATGGAGGTAATCTTCAGGAATTCTTCCTTGTGGTAGAGGTCTCCAGGTCCAAATTGCGCATCAACAATGATTCGGTTAGTTTTATTCTTCAATCATGCTTTGGAGGGCATGCATCTCGTTTCAAGGTCTCTTGTCTTCAGAATTGGTCTTTCAAGTTCAGCGTTTCCTCGAGAGATGTAGGTTTTGCAATCATTAAGGGAGGGAACCACTACCAGAAAAACTGGGGTTGCCGACGGCCAAATCTATGCCGACGGCCCCCGTCGGCATCGCCGGACATATGCTGACGGCCAAGGATAGGCCGTAGGCGTAGAAAAGTCGTCGGCATACATCCATCTATGCCGACGGGGCCGTCGGCATAGACAAGGCCATCGGGACCGCCCGAGATACGCCTACGGGGCCCGTCGGCATAGGTCAGGCCGTCGGCATAGCACGGGCCCACCTGCCCGGTCAGCGCTGACCATTTGACGGCGTTGAACCTACGCCGACGGGTGGTAACGGTGGCCGTCGGCATATCTGTGGCAGAGGTATGCCTACGGCATAGCCGTCGGCATAGGCCCCTCTACCACGTCAACGATCCGTGTGCCACGCCACGTCATCGATCCGTGTGTGCGCAGGTATGCCGACGGCCTTGCCGTCGGCATATGTTTACTTTACTTAATTTTTAAATTTATCTATGGCAGAGGTATGCCTACGGCACAGCCGTTGGCATAGGCCCCTTCGCCACGTCATCGATCGTTGTGCCACGCCACGTCACCGATCCATGGGACAACCTCCCTGTGTGCACATATATGCCGACGGCCTTGCCATCGGCATACGTGGGCATTACTTTATTTTTTTATTTTTACTTTGTTTTGTTATTTTTACTTTATTTTAGTTTTTGCTTTTGCATAAGATAATTATGCCTTATCTAAATAAACAAACCCGATGGTATATCGATTGCCCCCCGTTACGAACGTCGCTATCGCCGTGTCACGGAGGGGGGAAACGGTCGAAACGGAAGGAATTCTGGTTGGTGGGGGGTTCGGGGTGTAGCTATGTCACCGAAACATCGCACGGGTCCCGATGCATATGTGAAAGTGTTCATGCATGCGTAGACGCCCGTCTTGGGGCTCCGGGGTGTGCCCCCCCTCACGGACGGCGCCGCCGCCAGCACCTGAAGGGGGGAAACGGACGCGTGGGGTCTACACGAAGGGGATCTTGCTGTGGGTCTGGCCCGAATGTTGCTCCAAAGTGTTCCTATGGGCTGACCTAACACAACTGGGTGGGGAGGTCCACTGGTCAAAGTCCGTCCGTGCAAAGTCAAAGGGCTAGATCCCGTGGTCAAACGCTACAGGGTTAGGCGGGACGGGGGCACTGGGGGGTAGCAATGCCACCGGAGCGTCGCACCGGGCCCTCATACATGCGGGGTGGTGTGGTGGCATGTCCGAAGAGGCGGGACGCGTCTCCGGGGCGTGGCCCCCCCCTCACGGACGGCGATGACACGGTAGTAGACGTTCTGCGGTAACGATGCGGCGTCAATATTACTAAATACTCGGAGCGCGATAAAATCATGAGTTTTTTTGCACGACGCGGGCACATGTGTTATAGGAACGATGGTACTTTTTCATAATTTTTGGTGATGGAGAAGTATCCGAAAAATTCCCTCTACGCGGATTGCCCTTCGCGCGTCTACGGCTGTGGCCGGCGGCCTCCGGGGGCTAGCATGCCGCCAAATCTTGCGGCAGCCTCTCACAAGTCTGGAAGTGTTGTGGCGGTTGCAAACGCCCGGCACGCGTGTCCGGGGTGTGCCCCCCCTCACGGACGGCGCCGCCGCCGGCACCTGGAGGGGGGAAACGGACGCGTGGGGTCTACACGGAGGGGATCTTGCTGTGGGTCTGGCCCGGATGTTGCTCCAAAGTGTTCCTATGGGCTGACCTAACACAACCGGGTGGGGAGGTCCACTGGTCAAAGCCCGTCCGTGCAAAGTCAAACGGCTAGATCCCGTGGTCAAACGCTACAGGGTTAGGCGGGACAGGGGCACTGGGGGGTAGCAATGCCACCGGAGCATCGCACCGGGCCCTCATACATGCGGGGTGGTGTGGTGGCATGTCCGAAGAGGCGGGACGCGTCTCCGGGGCGTGGCCCCCCCCTC